CAATAAAAGAAGCCGTTTCAGGACAACCGCAGATGGCAACTATGTGTCCTAGAAATAAATCGCAGGGATGTGCCTAAGTTTGGGGAATAGAAAGGCAATGTCTATGCCAAAAGGGCCACTAGGGGACAAAGAAATGGGTCTCAGGTTCTTAATATTGGGATTGAGACACACTGAAAATTGTAGCCTTAGCCCCACGAAGGTATAGCTGGGAAGAGGCAGAGTCTGTAGGAACCCAACAGTCCCAGTGCGAATGGAGCAGAAATGAGCTCACTCACCTCTAACGCCGCCTGGGGGTCCTCGTCGATCAGAGCATCTGAGAAGCTCTGGGAAAACCTGCCAGGAAAACAACGACTTCAGCAGGGCTCACTAACCAAGGAGAAAATAGTACGACAAACAGCAAAGGGGGAGAAAAACACGCACCGCTGGGATGTTGCAGATTCTGCTGCAGCTGCCGCCATCCCTAAGAGCCACTAAAGCTTCGGCCCGAGCGTTTTCTACCTTGGTTACCAGCTCTGCCGCCGCCCAGGGGGGGGAAACTTCTGAGGACACACCAACAGAGCTTCCGTCCTCGGTAGCCAATCAGCAGTCGCGCAGCATGCGGCCGCGGAAAAGGAGGCGAAGGGCGGGCAAGTGGGCGCAGGGCCCGCTGGGAAAGAGGCGGAAATGTTCCCCGGGCCCGGCCCCGCCCCCACCGGTGACGCGCGACACGGCCCCGCCCCCGAGGGCGTGGCCACGACGCCCGCGCCCCGCCGGCTGCTCGTTCGGGGCTCCCGCACGGCTTGCAGGGCCTCTAGAGTCGTCTCAAAGCCCCGCTGCGAGGCACCGGGACCCGTCGAGGAGTTCGCGGGTCCGTTAAGGTGTGCCACGTTAAGCACCATTTTCTCTGGTTTTTCAACATGGCGGCCGCCGAGCTGCGCGTGACGTCACTCGTCGTTGCCAGGTCTTTTCCGGCAGCGGAGCCGGGAATGGCGCATCCGTTCGTACGACGGCCAGCGGGGATCTCCGACAGGCTGGCTCGCCGGAAGTCGCTTTACCGGCTTGGAGAATGGGGTTTTCCGGAGGCGCTGCCAGGTCCTCTCCACACCCCGAGCTTCCTTCCTACTCGGCCTTCCCAAACCCAGAAAAGCCTGTTTTGAAGGCACCGAGTGAATGGAACCTGGCCTAAGCTGTCTCAGTGATGCCTCGTGTTGTAACTAACCGGCCAGGCCTCCCCTCCCACCCTCGCCGTCCTTAGGGCCAAACGTCAGACTGGCGAAGTGGTAATGGGCAACAGGAAGGAGTGGGAGTGAGCAAGAAATAGAATTAAAGTATCCGCTACATCAACCTTGACTTAGCAGCTGTTAATAACGCTCCGGAAGTCGTTTTACAAAATGAAGATGTGGTCGATGGCTTCACTTTCTAAAAAAGTAAATAAATAATCCCACGCAGCTGCAAAAAGTAAGGGGGACGGAGCTTGAAAAATGCAAGGAAACGTGAGCCCATATTCAAGTTGGAGAAATGGAAGGGCACTGGGTTAAGTATATGCCTGGCCATCAAGAGCTAGAGGTGGGGAATACTAAAACGTTTAGTGTTACTGCTGACTGCAGGCATATCCAATCTGCATCATGAGGGGGAAAGAGGAGTGTTAGTAGAAGATAACAGGTCAAAGAAAGCAATCTGAATCCACTGATTTTAAAAATGGAGAAGAGGTGTGAGAGAGACTTTGAGACAGAACAGGGCCAGATGGCTGCTAACCGAAAGAGGTGCAGGTTTCTGGTTAAGTTGGTGCGAATATACAGTTAGCCGAGATAAAAAACAAAGACAAACAAAAAAAAAGCCAAGCGGAGCATATTTGTAGGTATGTAGAATTTCAGTTTGGATCTTTTGAGTTGAAAGTTGTCCTAAGTTTCTGTGTACCCAGCAGACATTATAAAAGAACAGATGTGTGAAGATGAGAATTGTCTTTTGCTAAACCTCTTTGAAGCAAGTGTTGGTTTTCTTCAGTTTACAGTTCTCTGTACGGTTGGATGTAATTATTTCTCCGCTTCATTTATTGCACATACCTTGTGCCAGTTGTCATCTCGTTCTTTTATTATCTGAAACAAGTTCAATGTTAACAGTTTATAGTTAGTTTTTTGTGTCTTATGTAAGAGTGCCCATAAAAAGGCTATGGGAACAATCTTTTAGATCTTTCACTTTCCACGTGTAAGTCTACTGTCTATAGTTATCTTTGACAACTTTTGTAAAAGTATGACAGGGACAAAAGTTCATTTTCTCTTCCATATAGATACCAAGTAATACAGCGCCACTTACTAAAAAGATCATTTCCCCATAAATTGGATGGCAACTTTATTGTTCTAGTCAAAATTCAAGGCATCTTCTTGGAAACAGAAGTGCTAGACCTACCAGCTCATTCATTTTCTAGAAATTTGTAGACTCTAAAACTGTAAGTTTCTGTGCCTAATAAATGACCCAGTCTTAAGTATATTTGTTATAGTAGCACAAATGAACTGTTGTCTTTCTATGCAGTGAAAAACTCTACTAACCTAATTTAAGAGATTTAGTTTAGGGTCCAGTGAGGTAGCTGGTACAAGCATGTGTTACACAAGCCTGGAAAACTGAGTTTGCTCCCCAGGACTGAGGTCAAGGTGATTGGAGAAAACCAACGCCACAACGTTATTCTATGACCTTCACACTCTTGCTGTCTGTCTGTCCCTTGACTTCCCAACACACAACTTTTAATCTCTAAATGTGAGACCGAGGCTGGAGGATTACCAAGACTGAAAGGTCAGCTTGGGCTAAATAGTAAATTCAAGATCAAATACATTGAGCTATATATTGAGACCTTCTCTTGTAAAATGCCAGTGTTCTCCAAGTTGTTTATAGTATACTAATAACTAATACTATATATATACTTTTTTTGTATGCTAGAGAAATGGCTCAGAGGTTAAGAGCACTGCCCACTCACCCATCAGAAGTTCAATTCCCAGCACCCACATGGCAGCTCACATCATCTATAACTCTAATCTCGGGGTATCCAACACCTTCTGGCTTCTACAGGCACTTCACAAATAGACAAAATACATTGTGGTGGTTTGAATGAGAATGCCCCCATAGCCTCATAGATTTGAATGCTTGATCACAAAGGATTAGGAGGTATGACCTTGATGGGACAAGTTTGTCGCTGTAGGTAGGCTTTGAGGTTGTAAGTGTTCAAATGAGGCCCAGTGTCTCTCTCTTTTCCTGCTTGTCTTCCAATCTGGATACAGAACTTTCAGTTACAATGTCTGTGTGCTGCCATGACAATGACAGACTAAACCTCTGAAACTGTAAGCAAGCCCCAATTCCATGCTTTCTGTTGTAAGAGTTGCCATGATCAAGGTGTCTCTTCATAGCAATAGAACACTTAAGACACACACACCAAATGTTTAAAAAGTTATACATCGCCAGGCAGTGGTGGCATACACCTTTAATCCCAGCTCTTTGAAGGCAGCAGCAGGTGGATCTCTATGAGTTTGAGGCCAGCCTGGTCTACGGAACAAGTTCCAGAACAGCCAAGACTACACAGAGAAACCCTGTTTTGAAAAGAGAAAAGTTACGTATTAGTCCTGGGACATACCTTAAATCCCAGCACTTGGGAGGCAAAAGCAAGTGGATCCTCTGAATTGAAAGCCAGCCAGGAATAAATAGTTGAGAAATTGTGCACACACACACACAGCATACTAACATGTGATAATTAGTAAGTTATCACTGAAACAGTAGTACACCATATTACAGATAATGTTTTTTTGAATTTTTCAAAATTTAGCAATTAATTGACCAATTTCTAGTAAGTACACCTGTTTTAGGGCTGGGGAGATGGCTCAGTGAAAATAACACTTGCTGTGCAAGCCTGGTTACCTGAACTTGGGTCCTCAGGACCCATATAAAAGCTGGAAGCTGTAGCACAGGATGTGTAGGACCAATCTCAGATCCCACCCAGTGTTCTCTGACAGGTACTAGCATTCCTGCATGGGTACCCAAACATTTTTTTAATGTTTGGTTTAATGTTTGAGCCCCAGCCTCAGACACAAGTTTACTTTGTTCTTTGGCATTCTGAAGACAGGGTCTCATTTAACCTGAGGTGGCCTCAGACTCACCATATGACTGAGGATGGCCTGCCTCTATGTCCCTGAGTTCTGGGATTACAGGTTTGCACTATCATACCTCCTACTCTGTGAAAAGCCTTATAAAAGATCTAACGGGTCTTGCCTCTCAAACTGCTTTTTTATACATCCCGGGACCACCTGTCTAGGAATGGCTCCACCCACAGAGGGCTGAACCCTCCCTGCAAGTATCTGAGGGAGGCATTCTCTCAGGTGAGGATCTTTCTTCCCAGGTGACTCTAGCTTTTGTCAAATTGACAACACCTAAACAGCAAAAGAGGTAATGAGAGCAGAGGTCATAACCTAATGGATGATTGCCGTTATTTTGAAAGTAATTTGTTATCAATACATTCTCCTCTTGATCAACTGCTCTTTTGCCACCTTAATAATAAAATGAATTATATCATTGGTATTTTATTGCGTGATGTCTAGAAACTGTCATATGGTGTAGCAAAAGGAAAAATTTGCAACTTTGACCAGGAGTCTCACAGGAACATCTGGTCCTCCAGTACCACTGTAAATACTAGTAACTCATGCATGTGTGTGTGTTCTTTAAGAAACATTTACCAAAGCCATGGGACGGCTCCCTGGGTAAAAACTCTGCAAGTCTGAATTCTACCCTAGGAACCCATGGTGGAAGAATAAGATACAACTCCCCAGAAGCTGCCCTGTCCTCTCCTCTGTGTTCACACTTAGGCATGCACATGCTTGTGCACACAGCATGAGAAGAACACGTGCCAGGTATGGTGGCATGGACCTGCATTCAGGAGCCTGAGGCAGGATGATCACTAGTTCCAGGATAGCACAGTGTGTCCAGGGAGGCCTTGTGTCAAAATGCAAAAGAAATAAAGACAAACACTAGCTTGAAAACGGAAATATTGAGAATTTTTACATGATTTAATAATAAACAATTAAAGATACAAAAATGCTTAGAGGATTCCAAAATTTAAATTTTTGTTTAAATACAAATTCATTTTATAATATGAAAACATATAATATAGCCCTCTAACCATAATGATTTTTTTCCTCTACAAAAATTTCTATACTAGAAAATTTGCAGAAAAACAATTTCTTGCGACATTAAATGTACATTATTTACAGTTGAAAAAGTAATCTAAGAACTCTACTTCAGAAACTTGGATATATGTTATCTTTGTATGCAATTTCCTTCCCCCTTTACCCACAGTAAAAAAATTATCCAAATAAAAAGCAATTGTGCTTTTGTAATAACTGACTCCATTACTAGCTCAGGACTCAGGTTACTCCCTTGGCCCTTTGAAGCCCTGACTCTCAGAACAGCAGTCTGTCATTGAGCACTCAGCACGTAAGTTTACTAACTAATAAGCCATAATACACGGTGGTCTAGGAATTAATGAACAAAGAACTTAAGAGTTGATGGCAAATCTTATGCAGAAGAATAATTTTGTGAGGAAAACATTTTATACAGTATTTTACCTATATTTACACTAGGAAATATTCTGGTAATATTCTAAATAACTTTAAAGTACAGATACTAAAAATCATAAAATTTATGATAAGGGAACTTAGAGACCATTTAGTCTAGTCCAGAGCATCCCTTCTTTTTACCAGAATGGCAAAGACTAGCAGATGCAGTGGCCTGCCCTGGGTTACACACTGAGCTTGTGGGAGTGCTACTCAGGCTGCCTTTATGCTGTCACATCTCTGACATGAAGGTTCAGACATAGCAAGGCACACTTAAATCATTTTGTTGTTGCTTTCTTTTGCTTTTGGGTTTTTCTTGTTTTGTTTTTTGTTTTGTTTTGTTTTTGAAAGGTTTCATGTAGCCCAGGCTGGCTTCAAACTCACTATGTAGCAAAAGCAGGCCTTGAACTCCTGATGCCCTTTGTCCACCTCCCAAGTGCTGGGATTGCATGTGCCAACACACTGGGCTTAACATTTTTAAACAGTGCAGCCAACTAAAGTCAAGCTAAGTGACACCATAATTTTAATAGTATAAAATAAGTTTCTTGCATCTGAATCAAGACTTAAATTATACAAGTGGAATGAAAATACTTCCTATATAAATTTCCTGTTGACTTATATTTAAGTAGTATTTACAAACAATTCAGGAGGCTAATACAGTGTCAAGTTAGAAAAGAAACTTTAAAAACACTTATGATATAGCAACTGAAAAAAAAAATCTCAAGAACTTCATAGTATAAAATTCCTGCTCCTTCACAACTGAGTTCTGAAACATATAAAGAAGAGAAACACTGGGGTTTTTCTCCTCATCAGAAAAGTCAAAAGTAACTTTTTAACAATTACAAAATTATGAACTTCTGTAGCTTTATCTTAGGGGGAAAAAATCAGTTTGTTTTCAGACCAAACAATGAGTTCAATTAAAAAAATAACCACCCATAACTCCTTTGGTGTGTTAATTAAAAAGAGTTGGGCTCTACCAGCTCATTCTGTTTGATGGCTACCTGAGAGGGAAACCCATTTGAACTGGATACCACCATCACGTAAGGCTGTGGCTGCTGTTCCGTTTCCTCAGTGTCTTCATTCAAATGGTCTTCAACCTTTGTCTCTGCTTCCTGTTTAAGAGTTTTTGTTTCCTGAGTTTTGATAACAGATGTGATCACAGTGCCAGGTGGGTGTGCAACAAGTTGTGAACTTCGGGAAAAGGTCACCACGGGTGTAGTAGCACTGAAGGATGGAGATGAATCCATGCTGACAGCTCCGTTGCAAATGGACTGAACATTGCTTGTAAGAACCTGCTGTACATGGGTGGGACTGAAGACAATTGAAGGAGGAGAGCCTGGCTTCTGTGGCTGTAGCATGACATTGTCTTTCAGTACTGTCATGGGCTGTGATGATGGAATGGCTTGTAGGATGAATTTCTGTGAGCCGGCCCCTGATGATGGGTCAGTGCTGGCTATCACCGTTGTGAGTGGCACTGTCTGCAGCGTTACTGTATGCAACTGCTGGTTGCCAGGAGACACAACTACTGGAACCTGGGTTGAAGCCTGTATCGTCCTATTGAGATCACCAAATAAAAGTGAGACAATGAGCAAATGGCACATCTTTTAAAATTCTAAGGCTTAATGGGCTATTCTTAAAAGTATGTTATACATTCCCATTGCTACTTCCCTTATTTTTATCACAGCATAATTAATTAACATCAAGTCAAACCTTGTTTTAGACATATGAGCTTGGTGTGATCCCTGTAATCACCTCACTAAGGAGGCAGTTCAAGGTGAGGGCTGCATAGAAAGACACTATCTCAAATGAAAAACCTGTGAATACTGTCGCATTAATACAAGTGAGGCCGGTGCTGGAGAGATGGCTCAGAGGTTAAGAGCATTGGCTGCTCTTCCAGAGGTCCTGAGTTCAATTTCAGCACCCACATGGTGGCTCACAACCATCGTATACACAACAAATAATCTCAAAAACAAAATGAGAGTGAAACTACACATGAGCTTGTATTAAAAAAGAAAAAAGAATACAAGTGAGGCATCAATACAGGAAGCAAGGTATTTATGCACGAGTCACTCTAAAGAAAAGTATAAATTTAAAAGCAGGTCTGTTGATTCGCCATGCTCACTCCTAACAAACCCCAAACTTCCAATAGTTGTGTTCATTCTATTGTTTTCATAAGTGTAAAAATGCTTAACTTTTTAAAAACTCCTATTTTGCCAGAAGTATCTATTTTTAACAGTTACTAGGGTTTTAGTAACTCATAATTGGTATCAGATCTACATCATACAAATATGACTATAACTTCTGTGAGTTCTAAGCCAAAAGAATAAAGTTAAGGCCAAGATTTGACAAAATAAAATACACATATATTTTAGCAATTTTAGAGGCCAAAGTAATTTTCACAGTAATTTTTTCAATATAGGGTCTTTTTATGCTGCCCAGACTAGCCCTGGCCTATCCATCAGCAGACATGTCATAGACAAGTCACCCTGCCCAACATAAAACTACAACATAAAGAAATTAATGTAAAATCCAATTTATAGAACTAGCTATAATAAAGAGATAACCTCATTATTAAATAAAAAGCTTCATAAATGACTTGATGACCCAATATAATTTTAAAAGTTTGCACTTATAAATGTTATAGGTTTTGTTTGTTTATTTGAAACTTAAGTCTCTTATAGCCTAGGCTAGCCTTCATCTCCAGGTCCTGCCTCAACCACCTAAGTGCTAGGATTACAGGCATATACTACCATACCCAGCTTAAAGTTTACAGTTAGGGTTACTGTTATTATAAGTCAGTTGAAAACTCTGCATCTTGAGTTTAACTGTTCTCTCAGAATTTGGTAAAGTTATTTTGTGAAGGTTAAATTTCAAATGGCTCAGTACTAAGTATCAATTGGCAAATTATTAAATAGAGATTTTATTGCACTAGCTATAGGTGGCTGGTCACATATGCAAAGATAAACAGCCCACATGAAAAGATAAAACAGGGACCAAGTGCGACTTAGAAGTTAAAAAGAAGTGGGACAACACAGGATGACTTCAGCATCCATGTGGAATGCCGAAGCTCCTCTTCATATTGGCACCCACACATCAGCCTATGGGAGGGTAACAGCTTTTTCTTTATTTAATTTAATTTTTTAATTTTGGAAACAGGGTCTTCCTATGCAGTTCTGGCTGGCCTAGAACCTGATATGCTAACCAGCCTGGCTTCAAACGTATAGTGATCATCTTAAAAAAAATTTGGAGCCAACATTGGTGGTATACGCCTTTAATCCCTCATTTGGGAGGCAGAGGCAGGCAGATCAGCCTGGGTTACAGACCTAGTTCCAAGACAGCAAAGGCTACATGGAAAAACCCTGTCTCAAAACACAAACAAAAAACATTTGGAGATGATAATAGTGCAAGCTTGAAATCACAATAGGGAGGCTGAACCAAGAGGACAGTACACCCTTCCTCAGCTACATATCAAGTCTTTGCCTCAAAACCAAACAAAACTCGGCATGGGCATGGTGTCAGACTCCTATAATTTCAACGCTCAGTAAGAAGAGGCAGGAAGACCAAAAGTTCAAGGTCAGCGTACATATGAGGCCAGACTGGGATACAAGACACCATGTCAAAAGAAATGTAGCTATTAGACACCATCCTGAAAGAGGTACCCCAGTCACAAAAAGAGGAACACAGTGTGTACTCACTCATATATGCATTTTAGACATAGAGCAAAGGATCACCAGCCTATAATTCACACCACCAGAGGAACTAGGATACAAGATGTGTTCTAAGAAAATCATATAAAGTCCCTCACAGAACCGGGAAGGGACAAGTCCCCCAGAGCACAGAGGAAGTGTGGGGGGGGCAGCGAATGGAGAGAGAAGTAGGAGAAAACGAGGAGGAGGAAAGGAAAACATGTGCGACCAGGAAGATTGAGCCCGATTAGGAACAGAAGACAGGAGAGAGAGAGAGAGAGAGAGAGAGAGAGAGAGAGAGAGAGAGAGAGAGAGAACATAAAAGAGGGTTTGAAGATAAAATTGAACATGAAGAAAGGTCTAGAGAACTACAAGACTGCTGCCAACTAACAATTTGAGCTTCCGTGGAAAGGCTATCATAAATGCCCTTCCCGGAGAGTGAGATCAACAACTAACTTATCCATGGAGCCCTCAACTAATGTCTGTTGGAAACAGGAGCAAACACCCATACATAAACACTGAGTCGAAGTAGAACCCAGAAGCAGATGGAGAGGACAAGACCACGCAGCAGAAGCACATAGAGACAGCTTACCTGAACAAGGAGGACCTAACGGGCCACCAGACTGACAGCTGGGAAGCCAGCATGGGACTGACTCAGGCCCCCCTGAATATGGGTCTCAGGCAGAAGGACTGAGCAGTCTAAGGGACCTCAGACAATGGAGCCAGGATGTATCCCTGGTGCACAAAAAGTCCTTACAAACACATCCCCCATGGAGGGATAACTGCCTTAATCTAGAGACAGGAGAGAAGCCCTAGTCCCTACTTCACATGACCTGCCAGACCCCAACTGGATGGCATTCCCCTACATATGGAACTGGGGTGGGAGGATGAGAGGGGAGGGTGGTTAGGGTGCATGTAAGAGGGCAGAGAGGGTAAAAGGGAGGGAAGGAGGGAGGGATGGAGGGAGAGGAAACTGGGATTGACATGTAAAATAATAAATTAAATTTAAAAAATGCTTTGACTCCAAAATTTAAGTTGAAGGACAAGTTACTGGGGAAAAGGATTTCTATTTTTGTTTCCACAGAAAATGAAAAGCTGTGTATTCCTTCCAGACTAATGTGGTTTGATCAAGCCAGACAGCCTGAAACAGAGTACCAGGTGATTCTACATTCAAAACAGCTGGACCAAGCAGCCTTACAGACTACAGCCAGGATTTCTGCATCTTCTTAGAATCCCCCATGACAGTGCCCCTTACCAGCAGGAAGTAGTTTGGAAAGAACGACGCCCAAATTCCCAAATATTGTTTATGTTTGTTTTCATTTAAATGGACTTGGTTATTATATATATATATATATATACATATATATGTATATATATATATAAATATGTAGCTATTAAAGAATTAGCCACCATGAAATCCCTGCAGCCACAAACATTTTTCTTCATAATTAAATTGTCAATTGTATCCAATTATGTTATATCAGTTTTTTCTTCAAGTTAACTTTTTTTTAAAGGTTTATTTATTACGATTACAACATTCTGTTTTGCATGTATCCCCTGCAGGCCAGAAGAGGGCACTAGATCTCATTATAGGTGGTTGTGAGCCACTATGTGGTTGTTGGGAATTGAACTCATGACCTCTGGAAGAACAGTCAGTGCTCTTAACCTCTGAGCCATCTCCAGCACAAGTTAGCTACTTTTTAAATCCTAAGATTCTGCTTGTAACTAAGAGCTATAATATTGATGATTTACGATTCATCAGAATTTCTGAGGATTATTATGTGACATTCAACTTGTGTTGAAAATTAACTCAGGTGTCAAGAAGTGTCATTAGATTGTCACAACCACCTGTGTTGTTAAGTATTGTTTTCATTTTATAGATGGGGAACTATTCCTAAATGACAGCTGATCTGCACATTTAATAACTGGGCTGGTGGGCCAAAAGGTTTGGCAGGCAGTCTCTCTATTGTGTTACCATGCTTTTAAAGTAAACAAATAGCTTCAGGCACTTTTAGAGGTTAATTTTAAAGACCCTACGACAAATTATTAGTGCTTGAATAAGAATTAAAGAAAATGGACTTCAACATTTACCAGGGACAATTCTCAGAAAACACTTTACCAGGAATTTACTGTGTTATTCATTGAACTATCATAAAGTCCAAATCAGATTAAAACTTTAAAGTGTATGACTACATGTATTATCAATTGATTTAAAGGAAACTTGAGATTTTGATGACAATTCCAGTGATTTACATAAATCCTTTCCTCCCCACTTGCTTTTGGTCATGGTGTTTCTTCACAGCAATAGTAACCCTAACCAAGACAAACTACAAGAACTATACATATCCATTTAATTTTGGAACATCATTTCTTGACTTACTCTAAAATCACATGAGAACAGTCTTAAATTTTTTCAGAAGACCAATCTACAGGTAGGATTTTCTTAGTCAATTAGATGTTCAGCACCTTTTCAAGTCTGACTTGATTAAAGTAGACTGGGAGACTTTCCAACATCTGGCACATTAACGCCTGAAGAAGAGAAACTGACTTCACACTTGGGTTTTCCCAAGTGATAACATTTACTCTTGGTAGTCAATGCATCCTAAATGTCTCAGTTATGACAATTTACACTGGGTTGTTTAGACTGTCATCTATTAGGCTAAACAAATCAATAGAGTAACAGCAGACAGCACTTGGGAGAGACAGAATCAGGTGATGAGGTCAAATAGTGACAGTCTGAGGCTATCCTGGGCTACACGAGATTCATCTCAAAAACAAACATGGTCTAGAAAGATGACTCAGTGGTTAGGAGCATGTGCCACTCTTGCAAAGGACTGGAATTAAATTCCCAATATCCACATTGAGCAACTCACAGCTGTCTATATCTCCAGCTCCAACGGACCCAAAATCTCAGGCCCTTAGAGGCATCTGCTGTCAGGTACACAAAAACCCACACACAGACAGACATACGTACTAAACATAAGCAAAAGCAGAACTGCTGATAGCATCAGAGAGCTGATATAATTTTTTTCCTGGAACAATCTATTGACCAAGAATTCTGCCTTCTGAATCCTGACCCAGTTAACAAACAAATGCCCCAGCTCTGAACATCTACACATTGATGTGCATGGTCACTGTTTCCTCACCTAATACTCTGAATGGAAGGATGTGCTGTTTCTTCCTGCATGGTGCTGGTTATGGTTGCTTCTCCTTCTGGGACACCTTGTACTGGCTGTACTACATGAACAGTCCGGAAGAGCTGGGTAGGATAGGGGGCCTGTGAGGGTTGCACTGTCCTCAAAACTTCTGATGGCTGTCCAGCTTCCACAGGATCTTTGGGTTTTGTAGCTTTAGAATTCCCTGATTTTAGAACTGTAGTGGCCCCTCCTTTTATTCCTGGACTTGAAGAAGATACTCTTGATCGGTTTGCTTGATTCCGACTTGATGTGGTTGTTGAAGATAAGGACGGATCTGTTGACTCTATGCTGGAACTTGGATCCTCATCATCTATGTATATTAGATCTTTTGGCATTTCTTTAAACTGATAGACCAAGCGCTGGCCTTCCACTTTTGCAAGAATACCTCTTTGGTAATAGTACCTAGTCAAAGCAGACAATTTCATCAATTTTATTAAATCAAATATAAACTGATAGTCAACAAAATCTTAATCCTAATGATAAAATTTTGGAGCTAAAGTTTAAAAATGAAGAATTTTGTTGTAAAGAGACAGGGTCTCTTTACAATAGCCCTGGCTGTCCTGGACCTCACTATGTAGACCAGGCTGGCCATGAACTCAGAAAGCTGCTGCCTCTTGCCTCCCTTAAAGGTGCACCTTAACACACCAGGCAGAAAATGAGGAAATTTGTAAAAGAAGGGCACTTACACAAAATATATACAAACTAACACACAGATTAAATCCTTACGAGGGACTAAGATGACTTAGTAAAGTGCCTGTTTGCATAAGATCCTGAACTCTGTCCTCAGCACCCATGCAAGGGCTGGGCCCAGTGACACATCAGTAGGCCCCAGCGCTGTGGAGACATCGAGACAAGGCAGATCCATCTTTTGATTTCACTAACCAACCAGCCTAGCTGAATCAAAGAGCTCCAGGTTCAATGAGAGACCTGGTACCATAATACAACATGGAGAGTAATCAAGGAAGACACCCAAACCTCTGACCTCCACCACAAGCACCCATTCACACACCCACACAAACACATATATACACACATACATGTCCTTATTAACAACCAAATCTAAGATGAATTCTGAACAGGGAACTGAACGAATGACTGGAGATTCGCTTCTCTTCCTTCTGCTGCTAATTTGTTGGGATAATCAAATTTATCACAAACCTCAAGGCATCATCTCCCACTCCTACCTTACTAGCAGCATTCATACAAGTTTTAATTTAATTCAATTGTGCAAAATTTAGTGATTCACGCGTCTTAATAAAATTAAGAACCTAAGATGTTCTTGTAAAGGCATGCCTATGTCTTAATACAATGCCCTTTTCATAGGTGCCTCTCTGTCTTCACATGTTGGTCCTTAAAACTGTTCCTCGGGGCTGGAGAGATGGCTCAGCAGTTAAGAGTACTTATTGTTCTTGAAGTGGACCCAGCACCCACATAATGTCTGTAACTCCAATTTCAAGGGCTACAGTGACTTCTCCTGACCTCTGGGGACACGCACAGTACATACTACACAGACATGTTTGCCAGCAAAATATTCATATACATACAGCTAATCTTTTTAAAAACTTAGTAAGTACCAACTCTGCTAAGAGGAGGAAGAAGAAGTTGCAGGTATGGTTGTGCATACCTTTGACCCTAGCACTCTCAAGGTAGACTGGTGGATGTCTGTGAGTTCAAGGCCAGCATAATTTACATAGTGAAAGAGAGTCTCAGAAAAAGAGAAGAAAGTTTTAAGTTAAGATGACAAAACATATGCCCTGTAATCATTTCTATTTCAAGTCTTTCTCAAACAACTCACTCATATATGGAATAACTAAGGATACAGTCATAGAAAAACAAAACAAAAATGGGCTTAAATTTCTTTTATCTAATATCAATATTGAAGTATTCATTATTATTATTTGGGGGGGTTCGAGACAGGGTTTCTTTATATTGTTTTGGAGGCTGTCCTGGCACTCACTCTGTAGATCAGGCTGGCCTCGAACTCATAGAGATCTGCCTGCCTCTGCTCCTGAGTGCTGGGATTAAAGGAGTGTACCACCAACACCCAGAAGTATTCATTATTCCACTATAATAATAGCTGAGATTTACATTTTAACATTTTATTAAATTTCAGATCTCTTTATAAGTAAAATCAGGTTGGTATCTATTTCTGAAATGATTGGGACCAACAGTGTTCCAAGGTTTTGGAGGTGCTTTTGAATTATTTTTAAATATTTGTATAGATCTTAACAGTTGAACATCCAAACTTGGAAATGCCCTCAAGTCTAAATTGCTTAATCCTCTTGTTGTTCAAAAGTTTCAGAATCTAGATTCCTGATTTTCAGACTAGATTCTGCTGTCTGAATCATTATTTGTATGAGAACAGTATTTTCCCCGGTTGAAGTAAGATTTAACTTTTTAAATGTATACTGGTTTCTGTGAGTGCCAAGGTCTTCCTTCTATAAATATAATTCATGGGCTCAGTGGTAAAGCACTTATCTAGAATACACAAAACCCTGGGTTCATTCCTCAGCACTACAAAAACAACAGCATAAACACAAATGTAAGCCTTCATTTTTAAAAGGTGACCTGTTTTTCAATACCTAGGAAATGACGTTTAACATAACAAACACTCCACATACCTGAGTGCTCTTCCCATGGTCTCATAGTTCATGTCAGGTTTGTTTTTGTGCTTCCCCCACAATCGGGACACTGCTTTAGAATCGACCAGTTTAAAAATGCCTTTTTCTCGCTGTGTCCATTTGATGTATTTAGGACAGGTAGCTTTGTCCTGAAGCAGAGCCAGTAAAAACTCCCAAAGGTAAATTGTGTTTCCTGAAACAAAATCAATTTACTTTAAAGGAACACATTTTCCTTGAAAAGTACAAACCAGCCAACCACAGGACTAGAAGTCTTACAAGGTCCAAATTTACCCACAAAGAAATATCATATTAGTTAGTTGATGCAGTCCCTCAGGATTGGTGAATACAGTCAGAGGATCTGGTAGAGACCTTACTAAACTCATACATAAATAATATATGAATGGCAGTCTTGTCAATTAGATTCATGGTTACCTAAGAGGAAACACAGACATTTTCTGTCTGCTCTTTAAAAACAACCACACAGTGAAAACACTATAAGTACATTAAAATTTTAAAAAGCTTTCAATAGTTCTCTTTATATCAGAACTACCGTATCAACCATGATAGCGTTCTTCAAATCTAAGCAAGAGTTGCAAAAATACTAGAACTCCAACACACCATAGTAAGGATCTAGCTGATTGCTGCAAAACATTGCTGAATGCAGTAGTGGATTATTTTGACAGCCAAATGGAAAATGAATTTCATAGGCTACTTTGTTATCGCCTCTTTACAGAAATTGATGACAGTATCTTATAAGCACTGGGCTTGTCTACTTGTTCTACTTGTCTCTAACAAGGAGAGTGATGAGCTTGATTTGGGGATATGGTAGTGTGGCATCTGTAATCCTAACATTTAGGAAGTGGGGACCACCCTCAGTTACTAGGGAGTTCAAGACCAGTCTGGACTACAAGGTTTAATACACACAAAATATCATTTAATACCCCCCTCACGCACACACGCGCGCACACGCGCACACACGCACACACACGCACACGCGCACACGTGCACGCGCGCGCACACACACACACACACACACACACACACACACACACACGACAGGAAGAAGAGGGGAGGGGAGGGCACTGAATCTTAGGACTTACCCTTCCCATCTTTATTTTTCTTTTTCACTGATATATTTGGTGTAGTGGCTGGGGAATCTGGTCGTGTTGGTTTTGTTTTTCTTCCTGAAATCAGAATGGCTCTGTATAAATATTTATCCTCATTTCTGAATGAAAATGGTTAGATTTGCTATACTGATGATTACTGAAATTTCAAGTTCCAAAACATTATACATGGGGCATACAAACTGATCTCTCAAAATGTTATCTAAAAAAAAAATTGCTACAGTAAAAAATGAACATTAAGTAGGTTAGATCATAAATACTTATATATGAAATTATACTTCAGGACAAAAGACACAGTTCAAAACCAGAGTCCTTGTCTAACATGCACAAGCTCCCAAGTTAGATACCCACACACCAGGGATGAGGGTTGGGGGTGGGAAAGAAACCAGAAATTACCCTTTGGCTCACCCGTAAAAAGAAAATGAGGTTAAATTTCAAATTCTGTATTTCTCTTTGAGATTACCACATTAGTGCTTTCTCTTAAAATTTTCAAGTATATCCCAAATACCAGCAAAATTTGAGCTTAAAAAACTATCCATATTGTGGGTGTTTGCTTCTGTTTCCAACAGGTACTAGATGAGGGTAGATAAGTTAGTTGTTGATCTCACTATCAGGGAAGGGCATTTATGGTAGCCTTTCCACAGTTGCTCAAATTGTTAGTTGGCAGCAGTCTTGTAGGTCTCTAGACCTTTCTTTAGGTTCAGTTTTCTCTTCAAACCAATAATGGATCCCTCTTTTATGTTTTCTCCTCTCTCTCTCTCTCTCTCTCTCTCTCTCTCTCTCTCTCTCTCTCTCTCTCTCTCTCTCCTGTCTTCTATTTCTACCCTGACTCAATCTTCTCAGACAGTGGAACCAGGATGTATTCCTGGTGCACAAAAGGACCTTGCGGACACATCCCCTATGGAGGGACACTCCCTTGACCTAGAGACAGGAGAAAAGTACTAGTCCCTACTTCAAATGACTTGACAGATTTACATGACCCCACCTGGATGGCATAGCCCTACACGTGAAATGGGAGTGGGGGGATGGGAGGGGAGGGTGGTCAGGGTGCTTGTGAAGGGGGAGAGAGGGTAACAGGGTAAGAGGGAGGGAGGGGGAACTGGGATTGACATGTAAAATAAAAAAATAATAATAATAGAAAAAAATAAGTTAAAAAATTATCCATAAACCATGGTATTGGTGGTACATGTCTTTAATCTCAGCACTCAGGAGGCAGAAGCAGAGGCAAGTGGATCTCTGTAAGTTCGAGGCCAGCCTTGTCTATAGAGCAAGTTCCAGGACAGGCTCCAAAACAATACAGAGAAACCCTGTCTCAAGAAGCAAACAACAACCAAAAAACAAACAAACAAAAAGAAACAAAAAAAATTATACATAAAGCTGTGTGTGGTGACACACACGTTTATCCCTATCACCAGGAAAACAGAGCCAAAGGCAGGTGGCTCTGAATTCTAAGCCGGAGTGATCAGGTGTGCAGGTGGCTCTGAATTCTAAGCCGGAGTGATAAGGTGTGCCTCTTCTGTGGGGAAGTGGTTGGTTCCTGTAGTTGCATCATGTTCCAGTGACACTACATTTGGAGTTTGTTTTCTTCTTGTCACAACTGGCCTTTTGGGCAAAGAACTGCCCTTGCCTTGACCACTGACAATGGACAGGCTATTTTAACTGGACAAGCAGGACATAAGCAAAAAGAGGCTACTGAACCTAGCCAAGTCAGGGTAGGACAGTCATTAGAATTTTCCTGGTTCTGATCATGGTCTGTTGGATACTCTACGCCTTAGCCAAAGTTGGTTGGCCCAACATTACTGTGAGACCATGGAGTGCTGTCCACAGAGCCAGCTGTCATTTTTGCACCTTTAGGAAGTCTCCCACTTGCATTTTCTGCTTACCCTAGTAATGTTATTTTCCTTTTCAAGTCTTTGATGAGGTTGAAGACTAGATAGTCACAACCAATATCCTATCTTATCTTAGCTGGAGCACATTAGGTACAAGATTTAGACTTTCCTAAGTAGGACAGCTATTGGAGTAATCTGTTATATGTCACTACCCTTGGCCTGGACAGTTATTATGTGTTTCTTGCTTAATGTTGCTCTTGCTGATTGTAAGCCTAAATTTGTGTATGTTTTACCTTTCTTTCTCCTGGACCATATTTGATATCTGTTATCACTGTATATGGTTTTTGTATCAGGTTTAAAACCCTTTTATTTTGACAAGAAGGGGAAATATAGAGGCATCTTGTTCTGCTAATGGACTTGAGGTAATAGCTTTATGGTGTGGCTTTTGGTGTTCAGACATGATCTGTTTACAAGGAAGAGGAGGGGCCTCACTCAGGCTGTCTTGGGTTGTGGTCTAGGCATCCTGCATCTCAGAGCAGACCCGATGTCTCCAGGGACAGAAGACAGAGGCAGTCATTTAACTTCATTGTGTGAATGTTCCAGAAATAAATATGTTATTCTTTATTCAGGTGTTCATGAACTTCCTTTAACCCACCTTAAGGTTTCTTTTTGTAAGACAGGATCTTGCTTTAAAAAAAAAAAAAACTCAGGGCAGGAACTTAAACAGGAATAATAAAGAAACACTGTTTACTGGCTTAGGTTCATACTTACTTAGCTTTCTTAAACAGCCATGACCACCTTTCATAGGGATGATATTGAAATAATTGGCTGCCTTGCCCCCAACAATCAGCACTAAAGACTCACAGACAAATCTGATCTAGGAAATTCTTGAGTCCAGGCTTTCCCCTCAGATGACATAGGCTGTTTCCAGTTAACGATTTAACTAAGACACTCTCAATTTGTAAAAAAATGGAAGATTCTCCTTTAACATATTCCAACAATTTTGTGTTCAGTTGCCTGAAGAATCTCAACTGTCTGCAGTGTTCTCCCATTGGCACCCTGTAATGGAATCACTGGTAGACTGGAGGTTTTGTTTCTTTTGTGTGTTTTCTTTGTGTAACAGCCATGTCTGTCCCAGAACTACTCTGTAGAACAGGCTGGCCTTGAACTCACAGAGATCTGTCTGCCTCTGCCTCCTAAGTGCTGGAATTAAAAATTTGTGCCACCACAGCCCGGCTTTTGTTTTTGTTTTTTGGTTTTTTTTCAACTAGAGGTTTTCAAACACTGCCCTAGGGCAGTGCTTCTCAACCTGTGGGTCCAGATCCTTTCTCAGGGGTTGCATATCAGATATTGATATTATGATTCATAATAGTAGTAAAAATTACAGTTATAGAGTAACAATGAAAGTAATTTCATGGTTGGGGACCACCACAACCAGATGGCTGGAGAAATGTCTTCTCTGTTAAGAGCACTTGCTAAATACAGAGGACTGGGTCATCTTCCCAGTGACCCACATGACAGCTCACAACCAGCTCCAGGAGATCTCACACCTCTGGCTTCTATGAGCATCAACATGCACATGCACGCATGCGCATGCACACACACACACACACACACACACACACACACACACACACACACACACGAACATAAATAAATGCAACAAAAGACAAGAAGTTGGAAAATATCCTTTAGTGAGACAGATCAACTGTACCTAACATTTTTAGTGACTAATACAAAGAAATACCTAAATTTTTTTGTGTTCTCCATTTTTTTCTTACATATCTTAACTGGTATAGAAACACCCTTTAATAAAAAAGTATACTTGGATTCTCCATCAATACTGACTGGATGACTTAAGTAAGTTAGGCACTCACTCACCTTTCTTCCTTTTAGGTTGTTCTGGGGATGAAGCTCCTGGGGAATCTGCATTCATATCCTGCACTTGCTGAGTTTCCATCACTTCAGGAATCCCATCTAACGTGACGGACACATGGGTGATTGGGGCAACAATGTCATCTTCAGGGGAACTAAATATATTATTATCTAATGGAAAAGAAATCAATTATAATCAGTTGTGTAAGAAACAAAATCATTTCTTGTCTCTATAAACTCTCTGGAGGCCTTTTATTTCCTTTACCCTAAATCAAGGATCCTGAAGCAGTCCAGGCTTGGCTTCCTGCACAGTCTATCTTACCTGCTCTCCCCATGCCTACCTTCTGAACCTCAATTCCTATCTCACCATATTAGACCTCTAGACAAATGCTTTATTATCTGATAACAAGGAGGAAAATCATAGCAAAAGATACTTCCCTATACTTTACTGAGGGAAATGAAAACAACACAAACTCCACAGCATGCCATTCAAAGTTTTCACAGTCTACACAAAACCTACCTTTCCAATCTCATTCTGCACTCACCACGAAGCTTAACACCTCAGCCACACATACAAAAACAATCTGTCTCTCAAAAAAAAAAAAAAAAAAAAAAAAAAAAAATTTTACAAGTTAGTGCTTTGGGTTGAATCAATTCTTTCTAACTCGTATGCCTGTTTCTGTCTTCTCTAATGAAGTGTAATGAAGTGTAACTGTCATTTGGTTAAAACATTCTCTTCATAAAGCTAGAGCACCCACTGCCTCCAGATCCCTATGCTGTCACTTGTTTGTTTTTGGCTTTTATAGTTATTTACACACATGAATGAGTTCAAAATTAAACTAAGATTAAAGAAAGGAGTAATAGCTATTCTTTTTATACCACGCCATTGCCTAACAGACTGCTGCACACATCACAACATTCAATAAATACCTTGAAGTTACTTACTAACTTTGGTCTTTCCTTCTTTCTTTCTTCCTTCCTTCCTTTCTTTTTTGTTTTGTTTTTTTGAGACAGATTATCTCTGGCTGTCCTGGAACTCACTTCGTAGACCAGGCTGGCCTCAAACTCACAGAGATCCACCTGCCTCTGCCTCCCAAGTGCTAGAATTAAAGGTGGGCACCATCACCACCCAACATAACTACACTTTTAACTTTGTGAGAAAGGGCTAAAAAATAAATAGATTTAAAAATAGGTTAATAAACTGTCTATGGATTTTAAGTAACAAATGGTCAGGAAAAACTTCAGTAGGTTTTTGCCTATTCAATACAATCTATATTTATAGAAATTACTATATTATAGTAGTCTTGAGTTCAAAGCCAATGAGAGGCTGGAAAGATGGCTCAGCAATTAATACCCTTGGTGCTCTTCTAGAAGACTGGGGTTCAGGTACTGGCACCTACATCATGACTCACAACCCTCTATAGCTCCAGTGCAGTCCAAGAGATTCAACACCCTCTTCTTGCCTCTACTGGTATTACACACATGCAGTACACACACATACGCTTTCAGGCAAAACACTGATGCACATAAAGTTTTAAAAACAAAACAAACAGGTTAAGAGACTAGATTCTGTAAGTGTGATCAGGGTGCATTGTATGAAATTCCCAAATAACTAATAAAAATATTATGTTGGGGAGGAAGACAAGACTTTTGCATAATCTACTATTTCATAGGAGACAAACTACTTTTTATTCTAAAAACTTCATCAAATTTTAAATCAGTTAAACAGAACATTTTAACACAGTCCACACAGCAATGTGCTTGGGAACCACAAAAGAAAAAAATCCTCTTGTGTTCTCTTGCCATTTACTCTCTGATGGAGATGGCAAGAATAGCTTTGCAATGTATACACACACAAGTGATCATTAGCACTCACTTATTCGTTTTTCATCCAAGATAGGGTCAGGAGAATCCATATTGAGGAGTGCCTCAGCAGCCTCAATGGTCTCAATTGTTTCATCTCCATTATGACAAGAAGCCTCAACTACAACAAAGCAAAAGTAGTATTAGCTCCAATGTATGTGCCACTCTGAAACTCACAGGTGGTGTTCATCTCCTGAACCAGGGTATACCACTCAATATTGAGCTTGTATGCATGTAAACTATAAAGTACAGAACATATGCCACAATATTGAATCTGAGGTGGGTGTGTATAAGGTCTCACCCTATGCTGGCTAGGCTTTTGGTTTGGTTTGGTTTGGTTTGGTTTGGTTTGGTTTGGTTTGGTTTGGTTGGAAGGGAACCTCAATTGAAAAAGTGTTCCCACCAGATTGGCCTGCAGACACTATGAAGGAATTCAAGATTCAATGTTTATTCATTTGTTTGGTTGTAGATTTGTTATTTTTGTAATTTTTTACATTTATATGAAGGAGTTGGTTCTTTATGAACACCATGTGGGTCCCTGGGATCAAACTTAGATCATAGGGAATCGGCAGCATATTTTTTAAAAAATATACCTTATTATAGCCCAGCCTGGCCTCAAACACACTATGTACCTGATGCTGGTCTAGAACAGCTGATCCTTTGTCTCCCCTTCCCAAGTCTTGGGAATACAGACCTTGGCCTGCTGTTCCATATTTTATCTCTAAGTATTTTATCATGTATTTCTAAAAGACAAAGAGCCTAACCAAAGATATCATCTCACATTTTAAAAAATTAACAGGTGGTGGTGGTGCACACCTTTAATCCCAGCACTAGGGAGGCAGAGGCAGGTGGGTCTCTGTGAGTTTGAATGCTAGGACAGCTAGGGCTGTTACACAGAGAAACCCTGTCTCAAAAAACAAAGCCAATTTAAAAAAAAAAAAAAAAACATCAAGCAGTAACTTTTTAAGTCTTTTGTTTTTCCCACATTAAACATTTTAATGACTTGGGATATACTTTGTTACTTTAAAAATATTTATTTTTATGTGTATGAGTGTTTGCCTGTATGTATGCATTTATGCATACCACATGTATGTCCACTGCCCTTAAGGAGTCAAAAGAAGGCATGAGATTCCCCAGTTACAAGCTACCATGTGGGTGCTGGGAACTGAAGCCAGGTCCTCTGGAACAGCAGTCAATGCTTTTGAATTCTAAGCCATTGTCCAGATGCCTTTTGTATATTTTTTAGGTAAGAATCTTTCTTTTTTTTTTCCTCCCCCACCAAACAGCCACATGGTTATTCTTCCTTCCCATTCTATTGAATTAGATCATGTGTTAACCTCTTAAACAAACAAGCACATGCATCTAGACATATTCAGTTCTGATATTTCAATTATTCTTTCACTAATATCACTTTGCTTTTAACAGTCTAAAGTTTTAGTACTTGCCAGCATAAGTTACTGATGAACAAGTTTTTATTGAATGCATGTTATGTGTCAGGTATTGAGGCAGCACTAAGGTAGAGCTGAGGACAAGGCAGTTAGAACGCCACCAAAAAACTACAACTCTGCCTATTATGTCTGTTTCAGAAGCAATTTCTTTTAAGAATCAAGATGTAAAACCCTTGCTTCCAAGTAATTTCCTCAAATATCCTTAACACTTCTGACCAAAATATATGAAAGTAAGACGTACAAAATTAGGGTTGGAGAGATGATCTTACACAGAATCCAAGTTCACCTTGGATGGCCCCCACATGGCAGCTCACAGATCATGGCTTAACAACTAGTTAATTCCAGTTCAAAGGGATCTGAACACCCTCTTCTGGTTTACCACAGGCACCAGGAATGCTCATAGAGCACTATATACATCAAGGCAAAACACTCATACAAATAAAATAAAAATAAATCTTAAAAGTCACACAAAGGCCCCCTACCCTGTAGGGCCCTGCATTGACTCTGAGGCACCTTGAGCAAGCCTGAGCTGTTGGCTGGAACATTCTGCAGTCTTAGCTGGAATATTTTGCCCCAGAGTTGTTATTGGTACTCTTCCTGATTTGCTAACACAAATCTGCTGGGGAGGAATTAAGCCTGAGAATTTGCACTCTTGACCCTGGGATTGTTTTCCACTGTGCTGTGAGTCAGTATATAAGCCTGATCCTTCCCCTCAATAAACAGCATTCCTGTTGCATGAATGACCAGCTGTCTCATCTCTTATTTAAATCTCTAAGCCTTCGCCTGATTAGTGGAACAGATTGTAGCTTCAGTACTATACTGTCCCCTCCCAAAAAAATGGTAAAATGGTGGGAGGTGGTGATGCACGCCTTTAATCCCAGCACTCTGGAGACAGAGGCAGGCAGATTTTTGAGTTCAAGGTCAGCCTGTTCTACACAGCCAGTTCCACGACAGCCAAGGCTACACAGAGAAACACTGTCTTGAAAAACCAAATTATCCAGGCATGGTGGTGCACACCTTTAGTCTCAGCACTCAGAAAGCAGAGGCAGGCAGATATCAGTGAGTTCCAGGCCAGCCTGGTCTACAAGTGGAGTTCCAGGACAGCAAGAGCTACTACACAGAGAAACCCTGTCGAAAGACAGGAAGGAAGGAAGGAAGGAAGGAAGGAAGGAAGGAAGGAAGGAAGGAAGGAAGGAAGGAAGGAAGGAAGGAAGGAAGGACCAACAATAAAAAATAAAAATGCTCGCACAAAATGAAAGTGCATACTGTTTTCTAAAACCAATAAAGGATGAAAGTATTGACACAACTCACTCTTACAGTCTGTTCTTCCAGTTCTCAGTGTTATACTAGCTCTGATCCCGAACAGAAATCTTCTGTACATCCTAGGGTTTCATCACACATTAGGTCCTGGCTTACTGTTTGGTTTCCTGTGACACTAGTGAGAAAATAACATTTCTATCTCTCTCCCTGCAAATAGCTTTCACTTTATTCTCATGAATGCAGCACTAAGGATAAACAAGCACTCAGTGAAGAACCGATTGTGAATCAAGTCTTTCTCAGGTCTATTTCAGTATATTTGTAGAAAAAGAAAAGGGATCAAGAAAGCAGTATGAACCAGGCAAGCTATCAGAATTCACCATTTTCTTCATCTAATAGGCTTTAGCCTCTGCAGGTAATAAAGTTACCCTGGGACCTCCATTTGGTTTGGGGTTAAGTACATCTCTCCTTAGTAATAATAATGTACATAACAGCCTAATTTCCTTGCCTGTACATGCTATTCACACACACACCCTTCTACAAACAATACACCTAGTAACTCCCAGATTCCCTTGGCCCCAACCCTACATCAGGCTACACATCTCTTAACGATAACGTAAGTTTCCCTACTCAAGTAAAGACTGTTTCTAGTCAAGTGTATTTCCAACATATGTAGGTACGAACAGAAGGCCTATCCATTCTGAACTGGTTTCAGGTGCATGTACAGTAAGGCAAAACTTAAGTCTGCCAGTAGTCTTTAGAGAGTTCACTCTATCATCTTCTGATTATGCATAATTGACGTGCATATAATTAAAACCAGATGCATCACTGACAGGGAGGAGTGATGGGCAAAGGGCTGGAAAAACCCACAGAAACAACTAACCTGAACAAGGGGGAGCTCATGGACCCCAGTCTGATAGCTGGAAAACCAGCATAGGACTGACCCAGATCCCCTGGATATGGGTGTTAGTTAGGAGGACTGGCCAGTCTAGAGGGCCTCTGGTAGTGGACCAGTATTTATCCCTAGTATAGGAATGGACGTTGGGAGCCCATTAAACATAGAGGGATGCTCTCTCAGCCTAGACAAATGGGGCAGGGCCTAGGCCCTGCTTCAAACGATATAATAGATTTTAAAGATCCCCCATGGAAGGCCTCATGGGGAGCAGAAAGGGGATGGGATGGGGGTTGTGGGGAGACAGGAGAGGAGGGGAGGGTGAGGGAACTGGGATTGACATGTAAAACAAGCTTGTTTCAAATTAAAATCAAAAATATTATCATAAAAAACACATGCATCATGAAGTGGAGAATGCATAATAGAAAAAACAATTATATAACCTAATCTATGAATTAAAATAAAGAACTACCCAAACCACACCCATTAGCCAGCCCCTGCTTCCTTTAAACCCCATTAAAAAAAGACACTAAATTTTATCCTGGGGCCCTTGAATAATCTGTCACTCTTGATAGGACCCCATCTATCTATAGCCTCTATTATTGCTCTGCTATGAATAAAGCTACCTTACTTCTTTTGCAAATCTGTGTAAGTCCTTATTTTCAAATCTTTACATAAAAGACCAAGAACCTGGAAACACCTGGCCCATACCCTAACCACCAGTAACAATAACACACATACACACCTGTAAGCGTGATGTCATCATCGTCATCGTCTATGATTTCTTCTTCAGCAACATCCAATGAGCTTTCAGTAATCATATCATTCGGCTCTTCCACACAGGCCAGACCGGCATAACTATTGAGAATATCAGCACCAGGAACATGTTCCACAATGACAGCAGGAAATATGGCAGGATCGCCAAGCTGAAAGTGACAGAAAGGGAGGAGAAGAGATAAATTCTGTTTTTGTTGGACACAATTCAAAAACATTTTACTCACTTTTTCAAAACACACTTGACACTCACTTGTAATTTACTTGATTTCACTTTCTTAAGTGGGGACCATTCCCAGGACCCAGTGCAGGCTAGGTAAGAACTCAAACACTGATCTACACCAAACCCTACAGGTTATAGCAATTTAGCCCCTAGATCATCTTATTTGTTTGGGGGGGGGGGGTAGCTTGAGTGTGTGCATATATGTGTATGTGTGTTTGTCTTAGCTTTTGGAGACAGACTCTCTCTTTGTAGCTGATCTTAAACTCACTCTCCTAAACTCTAGGATTACAAGTATATACCACCATACCTGGCTCTACTACTTATATTTTAACAATCTTTTTGGTGTATAAGGACTATGAACCTATAACACCTAACATTTAATAATTAATCTTGTCTCAGTTTTTTAAGAGACAGGGTCTTGTGTATCCCAGGCTGGATAATCTTGAATTCCAGCGGCTCCTGCCTCATTTCCTAAGAACTACAATTACAGGTGTGACCCACTATGCCTAATTCTTCATCTTAATAGCCAAGTTTTCACTGGTAATTCTAAAAGTATGTTTTAAAATGGCATTAGATTTAAAAACTATTTAAATAGGCTTTAAAATTATGCACAAGCACAAACCAGGAAGTGGAATGCAATGAAATGTATACTTAAATAAATTCTTACTACAGTTTCTCTCACAGAAAGACATCTCAGGTCAGCAACTAGTACACTGTTACTTGGCAGGAAGCCTTGATTTGCACGGCCTTTGACTGACTCATATGAAAGCAAATAACTCTCATTTTCTATTACTGTCCTCTTTAAGGATGACTGTATTAAAGTTATGAACTTTTCCTACTAATGTCTGTTTATAAAACTGCAGAATTTTAGGACAGGTGTTATGGCACATACTTTTAATCCCAGCACTTGGGAGGCAAAGGCTGTTGAATCTCCATGTGTTTGAGGCCAACCTGATCTACATACTGAGTTCCAGACCATGGCTACAGAGTAAGACCCTGTCTCAAAAATAACAGCCAAACCAAAGATGATCACAGAATTTCATAACTGAAAATTTTAACATCATCTAGCTCCCTTATTTTATCATTGAGAAAACTGTAACAAGAGGTTTTTTTAATCGCTGTATTATAAATTAAGCTACTCCTTTGTTTGCTTTGTTTAACTACATTACATACTCCACAGTTGTCTCGAACCCACTATGTACACTATGTAGCCCAGTGTCACCTTGAACTCATGGCATGCCTCTGCCTCAGGTTCCCAAGCACAAGAAAGAGCCACCATGCCTGGCTTCCTTTAAATATCTTATTTTGGAATAATTTCTTACTTTAAAAAATTGCAAAACCACATCAAAGGATTTTCATCCAACTTTTACTCACATTCTAATTCTAACACTTCAGCATTTCTATTATTGCTACATTTTGACTTTTTTTCTGATTTGTTTTAAAGTGGTAGTAGACATACTTCTTTTTTCTTTATGGGTGGTTTGTCTGCATGTATGTAAATGTACTATGCATGAGCATACACCAGGAGGAGAAAGCACTGGACCCCTTAAACGAAAGTAAGGAGTTACAGACAGTTGTGAGCCACCATGTGGATGCTGAGAATTGAGCCAAGGTCCCTGGAAGAACAGCCAGTGCTTTTAACTGCTGAGGTCTCTCCAGGTCCTAGACTGCCTTTGTAACCTGAAATATTGTTGTATACCTTAAAATACATGTCAGGGACACCCCTAAATACTCATCTGTCCCAGTGCTGGGGATACTAACTTAGACACTTGGTTAAATGATATGTATCAAGTTTCTCCACTGTAAAGTTAATATTCTTCCTTAATATGATAAGTATTTTGTGAGAACATTCTCCTTTAAGTGGGAAAAGATTCCCGTTTATAGAAAATGGCATCAGGTACTTTTGACATTTTCCTCAGGATTGCATACTACACTGGACTTATGGCTTTGTTATATACTAGACAGTGTTGATCTTTTAAAACAAGTGTGTACACAGGATTGCAGAGTAAGATCGGATATTACTTGTATCATAAAAAATTTAATTACTGAAAGCTAATAAATTTTGGGTGTTAAATAGATAGTATCTTCACCTTCAAGAATGTTATACAATGAAATTTGTGATGATCTTGAAGCACATTTGGTTTTAATTCAAAATGTTTCTTCCTGCTTCAGAAAAGTTAAAAGTAACTGGCTTTTCAAACTGTGTAAGTAGTTTTGAAACTGAAACTAGGGGCTCAAGAATTTACATTGTGAAACACATAAACACACACACACAGTAAAGAAAATATTTAATTTCCAAAGCAAAATATAAACACTTGACTTTAAGGACATATGTCTGTAAGTCAGAGGACAAGAGCAGGAGTTGGTTCTCCTTCCAAGTAAGTTCCAGTTTAAACTCAGCTTAGCAGGAAGAGTAGCAAGTATTTTAATTTCTGAGCCACTTCAAGGACTCCCTTTCTTTTCTTGAGAGGCAATCGGTTTACATGCAATACAACCTAGTATGAACACTGACCTAAAACACTTCCCTTCTCTTCTGTCTTAGGAGCTCCACTTAAATCCAATTCGAATGGGGCTGAACCCAATGTTCAATGACTTTTTATCTAATTTCACTGTATTTTGTACAAACCAATATACAGGATAAGAACAGTCCATCACCCCAGAAACATACTCAAGGTCAGCTGCTAAGTCCAAGACAGGCATGCCAAACGTAACTTGAGGGTGTAAGACTCACTCAAATAAAACCAGTACATTCCTCCTTATGCAAACCTACCTAGTTCTGGCAATTTGGACAGAAACTAGCAAGAAGATAAATATTACAAGAAACACCTTAACAATTTTATCTGAATCTATATAGTCCATACATTTGAGTGTCTGCATGTGTTGTTTGTACAGGCGATAGATGCCTTCCCCCTTTTTTGTACTTTGGTTTTGTTTTTGTTGCCCTTGTTGTTGTTTTTGGGACAGGGTTTCTCTGTGTAACAGTCTGGATGTCCTGAAACTCATCAGACCTGGCTGGCCTTAAATTCCCATAGGTCCATCTGCCTCTGCCTCCTGAGTCCTGGGATTAAAGACGTGCGCCACCATGGCCCAGCTTGTACCTATTTTTTAAATACAGGGTCTCTCACCTGGCCAGGAGTTCACAGATTCAACAAAAGTTGCTAACAGTGAAGTCGGGGGTCCTCCCGTCTCCCCAGTGCTGAGACTATAGGCATGCATCAGTACACACAGCTATGCCCATGATTGCTGGGGACCTGAACTCAGTCCTCAGGCTTTTGCCAAATGAGCTACCTTTCCAACCCTCCTGCATTTTAAATAACTAGATATTATTGCTACCCTCTTCATTGTTCTAGAATAGACAACTATAGCTTGCCTGGAGAAGATAACTATTGTTTCCACTTTATTCAAAGATCTCAACAACACTTTATCAAACATCTCTATTTTTCTACAGTGCCCTCCCCAGAGCAAATTACTGTTATCAGTTTCTTTGCTCCCTGGCAGAAATAATCCATGTATACATCACATAGTTTTATGCAAGTTTTTTGAAGATGTATTTATTTGTTATGTATACAGTGTTCTGTATGTATCCCTGCAGGCCAGTAGAGGGCACCAGATCTCATCACAGATGGTTGTGAGCCACCATGTGGTTGCTGGGAATTGAACTCAGGACATCTAGAAGAGTAGCCAGTGTCTTTAACTAGGGAGTCATCTCTCCAGCCATTACAATTATTTTTACAATTTAACAATTTATTAAGAAAAAATTCAGTACCAAGCATGATTTCCCTCTTGTTGAGAGGGTCTTAAGTGCAATAAAAAAGCTATTGGTTATCACCAAGGTATGTGTGTCACTACTGCAGCCTTAGGATTGTCACACCATGCTGCTGTTGTGGTTTAGGTGTTGTCTGCTTCCCTCCTTTGGCGCCTTCTGGTACCATGAAAGCTAGCTCTCAGGGCAGGCATTCAGGTCAGTTCTAGCCCAGGAGCCTGTAATCTAAAGTGCGTGTTTTCAGCAAAACCTTCCACCTCTGGAGGGCGGCAAAGGTCAACAGCAATAGTCTGTAATGTCTCTTGAACAGCCCTAACCAACTCAAAGAGGGCTTCTCATGCCTGGTTTTGGGTTTTTGTTAAATAGTCTTTGGCTCTTGGAGGGAGAATTATCAGCCTGTATGAAAAAAATTTTCATTTAAACTACATTTATACAAAGATATACATGTATGATACTCTTCTCTCTCTCTTTTTAATTCTTTTTTGTTTTTAGAATCCCTTCCCCCAATCAGATCACTGTGTCCTGCTCTTTCCCTCTCCTCCATCAATGGTCTCTCGTTTACTATACACATGCTCAAAGGATACAGAGGGAAGGAAGACAGGGAGCAAAGACAGCACGAGGCCTCAACCCTCCACAAAGAACTACAAGCAACTAAGGGATGCTGAGAGTGGGAGAAATGGTCTTTCTCAGGGAAGACCCTCTACTGAAAACATGCATACGCGTCACATTTTACACAGACAGCAGGTTACATGTAACACAGATGCACATAACACATGTCATGAATTTTAAAAGAGCAAGGGAGGACATATATGGGAAGGTTAGAGGGGAGAAAGGGAACAATGATGTAATTATATAGTAACCTCCTGTTGTCGTGTTTTGTTTATTTGTTTTTTTTTTGTTTTTGTTTTGGAGACCTGGTTTCCCTGTGTAGCCCTGGCTATCCTGAAACTTCCTCTGTAGACCAGGCTGACCTAGAACTCAGAGATTTATCTGTCTCTGCCTCCCAAGTTCTGGGATTAAAAGTGTATACCACCACTATCCGGCTCATAGAACCCATTTTTATGGAAGTGGTCACGGGTATTTTAACAAAAGACATGTACTTTGCTCAGTGGTAGAGCGTACAGGCCCCAGCTTCAATGCTCAGCAATATGGGGGGGGGGGGGGAG